TGTGAGAGAGGAAAAGATACAGTAAGGCTGGACGAACGCACCGCCGACCTCAGCGATCTGGTGGACAAGTGAGAGAGAGAGAGAGAGAAAGAGAGAGGAGAGGGATGTTGGTTGGGGGAGGGAGGGGGATAAATGAGGTGAGTGTATGTTTGGAGGTGTATATGTGTGTGGATGAGGGTGAGTGCGAAAAGATTTTTTTTTTCTCGCATCCAGTTTACACCTCAGAAGGAATCATTTACAGTAATACACAATTGCGACTTCTCATCCAATCTGGAACTCTTAACTCTTTATCTCTGGCAAGCCGCTCCCAATGGCTCGCGGTCAGAACCGCTGTGCCGGTGAGACGCTGACAGCTGCTCGGGCACATTCCTTTACAATGACTTCGACATCAAATTACTTTTCGGCAATTGCCGAAAACAGCGTCTTGTTTACCGGAAGTTCATTCATTAGATGAAGAACTATCAACATAGGTTTGCTAGTTTCAATTTGATGACCCATTTAATGACGTTTTTGTCATTTTTAGGTTTAGCACCAAAAAAGGGCCCCGGCATAGTTGCTGTGGGTTTATTCCCCTCAGAGATAAAGAATTAACCTTTTTTTCTTCTTTTTTTCTCCCCCTGGTCAGATTCTGCGGCTGGAGCAGCAGCAGCAACAACAGCAGATCCTGTCTATGGAGATGGTGGAGAACGCAACGTTTCGCACCATCATCTCCAAACTGATCAACGTGGTGCTGGCGCTGTTGGCCGTGGTCCTCGTCTTTGTCAGCACGGCCGCCACCTTCTTGTCTCCCTTTGTACACTCCACGTAAGTTTTCTCGCAAAGAATTAGTTCACCATCATCGTTGTTGATGCCAACAGAAGTGTCGATTTTCTAAAGACTTTTGTTGTTTACTCCAATATCAAAAACTGTTGTTTGAAAAAATGTGAAAACAACCAACTTGTATCCGCATGCTCATATCACATTTTGTAGTTGCAAGCAGCGTTGAAAAACTTTTACCAAACTGATACTGAACAAATCGATGCCTGTTGTATCGCGGGGAAATCAGGCACTTGTCAAATTAATGAAATCGAAGATACCCAACATTTTGCCACACATTAGCCAATTTTTATTAATTCTTTTTTTTATTTTTTTTATATTTTTTTTATTTTTTTTTTTTTTGCTCAACACCTTTTATTATGTCCATTTAAAAACACATTTCTGTGTGGATTTTACTGAAAAACATTGGTTTAGCCCAATTACTGGCAAGAGCCAATGAGATAGGCACTTTCTTTGCCACCAGACTGTTACTTCCGATAACATCAGCTGTTTCTGAAAGCTGTCTACATGAACCACAGAAATACCGACGCCGAACTAAAGTGCACTAAATTTAAAGAGCAGGACTTCCTGTAGTTATTAAAACTCTGTTTGAGCCAGAGGAACAAAAATGATTGTCCGTTATTTCTTTTAGAACCACCAGCAGCCACGGCTCTGCAAGTCGGTGAAAATGGCTTTGTTATGTCCTCGGCAGTTTCCCAGATTTCTGGCAGACTGTAGGGGTCACCTGACCTTGTTGAAATGTCGAAATCATAAACTTTTTCAACTCATGTTATAGCTTTTTCAAAGAGCTTTCCAAATGTATATGTGTCACGGCGTAGTGGAATCAGGCGCTCGTCTATTTTGGGCATCTTTGGTTTTTTACATCATCTTAAAGCCTGTTCATTTGGTGAAAAAAACCGCCCATCTATCTTGAATAGAAGTTGAGATATTTGTGATTGAAGTAGGTCAGGGTAGCCTAGTTTAGCTAGAAAATGGCCGCCAAAGTTTGGTAACTTCCATAGCCTGAGAGTCCATGGAAACTGAAAATTTACGTTTTTCTGTAAAATCCACACAAAAATGTGTTTCTAAACGGACATAAAAGGTGTTGAGCCATAAGAAGAAAATTTGAAAAATTGCCCATCGGTAAAAAAAAAATTCATATTTCTTTGATTTCATTCTTTTGACGAGCGCCTGATTTCACCAGGATGCCTCACATATAGTTCTCTGGTCTTTGCTTTTATCGGATGTACTCGCTGCTTAAGTCTAAAGGTGCACCCTTGTTCCTAAGACTTCCCCTGACGCAGTGCAAGTTGACCACTGACAGTCATAGGGTTAAGGTCCAAAAATTATACATTTGTAGTTTCCAAGGACATAATTCATGGTGAGTAGTTTGGCAGGTGTTCTGGTGTGATTTGGCAGGTGTTCTGGTGTGATTTGGCAGGTGTTCTGGTGTGATTTGGCAGGTGTTCTGGTGTGATTTGCTCCTTCTTTCCTATCAAACATCTGTTATCTTTATCTCCCCTCCTTCTTTTTTATGTTTGTTACTCTCTTGTAACAACTCTAATCTTAGGCACTTTTATGACCTTGTTGTGTTGCAAGTGCCGTAAGACTCTTACTAAAACTAAAACTAAGGCACTAAAAAATGTAAATTTGTAGTTTCCAAGGACATTCAAGCTTTGAAAGTCACCAAGCTGAAGCAGCAATTTTCTCACTATTTTTACCCCAGATACCAGTCCACAAAGACATTAACAGTTTCCTCTCCTCTCCCCCCAGGTCTCGGCTGCTGTTGTCTGGCACGGCAGCGCTGGTGGCCTGGCTTCTGTACCACAACCTGTCGTATATCGAGAGCGCCGCGTCGTCGTTACACTCCTTCTTCACATGGCCCTGGAGCTGATGACGGCCGCCCTGCCCTCGCCCGACCCCGCCCCGCCCCCACACCCACCAATCTCTTCACACCTCACTACCTGCTTTATTTATGGTCGTTTGGAGTTGACGACTTTGTTTTTTCGCCTGTATGGCTCGTGATGTGGCTGACAGACTTTGGCTATGCCCGGACTCCTTGCTGATGGTGTTTTGGGGCCCAACGTGGTTTTTTGGTTCGTGTTTTTTGTTTTTTTAGTGGCTCAGCCAGAGCTCTGGCTTGGCGCTCATATGACCTTATGCAGTTGCGAGCGCCGTAAAACCTCTACCAAAACTAAAAAGAGCTCTGGGCTGTCGTATGGGCCATGTACAAGTAGCTCGTATGGGCCGTTTACAGCTGTGTCTTATGGTCCGTTCATGGGCTGTATGCCCGAGTTTGTGTCATGCAGCTTGTTCAACCTCTGAAGAGAGAGAGAGAAAGAGAGAGTTTCGGGACATTTCCCAGGCCAAGTGCAGCTGGTACTATGAGTACAAGACAGGGTGTGGGTTTTCCCCGTGACTCCAGCGGAGGGATGGATGAACCTACGCTACGTTGTCAAGCAGCTCGCTCTGACACTGACACACACACCTGTAGGCCAAACTGGCCCACCTATTTGCAGGCTGGCGTGTGTACGTTTAGAGGCGTACATACGTGCGTGTGTATGTTTAGAGGCGTACATACGTGCGTGTGTATGTTTAGAGGCGTACATACGTGCGTGTGTATGTTTAGAGGCGTACATACGTGCGTGTGTACGTTTAGAGGCGTACATACGTGCGTGTGTATGTTTAGAGGCGTACATACGTGCGTGTGTATGTTTAGAGGCGTACATACGTGCGTGTGTATGTTTAGAGGCGTGCACACGTGTCGAGGAGTGTGATGAGCGGCAAGGCAGCGTGTACCGACTGATGGATGCTGACATTGACACCGACGTCTGAGATGTAGCAGTGAAGCTGTGGGTAAAAGTAAAGTCCCCCCCCCAGGACTCCCATTTCGAACATGTTCAACCTAGAGCGCACACAGACCCAAGGTCACCTGGGGGGGGGGGGGGTGTCGTCCACAGTGAGGTTTGTGCTGCGTCGTGTCTTGCAGGAACAGGAAGTGGCTGGCTGTGTTCGTTTTGTGTCATTACTCGCTGTGACGTGTCGTGGAGCTCATACTTTTAGTTTTTTACTCGACATCTGAGCCTTTGGATTTGCAAGAGAACGGAGCAGCACTGCGGTTTCGGGCCATACTGCTAGAAGATTGTGTAACAGCGCGTGGTGGCGCGCACAGCGTGGCCCTGCGTCGTCAAAACTGTGCTTTCAGAACTCTCGACTCGACAATCGGCTGAAGCCTAGCCAACTGTACATAGTGATGAACCCAACCATGGACATGAATGTCTTCAGAGGACTTCAGAGAACCTGTTAGTTTACAGACATGATATATATATATGTGTGTGTGTGTGTGTGTGTGTGTGTGCCTTTATACATGTGTATAAACATGTATGTATCTGCGTACCACACACATACACACTCGCACGCACACACACACACACACACACACACACACACACACACACACACTCACACACACAAACGTACATTCACACACAGACCTTGAAGAAGTGGGAAGGAGCAAATAATGTATAAGAACATTTGTTTAAATAGTGAGGGGGGAAACTTTCCAATTATTGTCCAAAAGATTATTCTATTTTTGTTTGTTTGTTCAACTGGGCTTTGTCTCTTGTCTGTTGTCTGGTTAGATTAAGAGGTTAGCGACGGGTGCTCTGGTGTGGTTTGCTCTTTCTTTCCTATCAATCACCTATCGTCCTTATCTCTCCTCCTTCTTTTTTGTGTTTGCTACTACTTGTTGGTGATTCCCAGCACCCACCAAAATTCTCCCACCTCTCAGCCAGTAAGGAGATATGGCCCTGGTTGTTGGCAAGCACTGCTGCCTCATCTCGCCGATTGGAGATGTTTACCACCCAGTTTCTTTGGATTTTCCCCAAAATATGTTGGCAAGCACTGCTGCCTCATCTCGCCGATTGGAGATGTTTACCACCCAGTTTCTTTGGATTTTCCCCAAAATATGTTGGCAAGCACTGCTGCCTCATCTCGCCGATTGGAGATGTTTACCACCCAGTTTCTTTGGATTTTCCCCAAAATATGTTGGCAAGCACTGCTGCCTCATCTCGCCGATTGGAGATGTTTACCACCCAGTTTCTTTGGATTTTCCCCAAAATATGTTGGCAAGCACTGCTTTAAGGGCTGACGACAGACTGTTTGTTCTTTGATCAGCCCCCAGTGCCTGCTACTGATGGACTGGTCAAACGTCCGGCGGTGGGTGGAGAAGTAGCCTTCTTGGACTGGTCAAACAGTGGGTGGAGAAGTAGCCTTCTTGGACTGGTCAAACGTCCGGCAGTGGGTGGAGAAGTAGCCTTCTTGGACTGGTCAAACGTCTGGCAGTGGGTGGAGAAGTAGCCTTCTTGGACTGGTCAAACAGTGGATGGAGAAGTAGCCTTCTCGGACTGGTCAAACAGTGGGTGGAGAAGTAGCCTTCTGGACTGGTCAAACAGTGGGTGGAGAAGTAGCCTTCTTGGACTGGTCAAACGTCCGGCAGTGGGTGGAGAAGTAGCCTTCTTGGACTGGTCAAACGTCTGGCAGTGGGTGGAGAAGTAGCCTTCTTGGACTGGTCAAACAGTGGATGGAGAAGTAGCCTTCTCGGACTGGTCAAACAGTGGGTGGAGAAGTAGCCTTCTGGACTGGTCAAACAGTGGGTGGAGAAGTAGCCTTCTTGGACTGGTCAAACGTCCAGTAGTGAGTGGAGAAGTAGCCTTCTTGGACTGGTCAAACGTCCAGTAGTGAGTGGAGAAGTAGCCTTCTTGGACTGGTCAAACAGTGGGTGGAGAAGTAGCCTTCTTGGACTGGTCAAACGTCCAGTAGTGAGTGGAGAAGTAGCCTGCTTGGACTGGTCAAACAGTGGGTGGAGAAGTAGCTTTCTCGGACTGGTCAAACAGTGGGTGGAGAAGTAGCTTTCTCGGACTGGTCAAACAGTGGGTGGAGAAGTAGCCTTCTCGGACTGGTCAAACAGTGGGTGGAGAAGTAGCCTTCTCGGACTGGTCGCCATCAACTGTTGTCCTTCTCACAGAAATATTCATACAAAGGATTTTTTGTTCATCATCGCTGGAGTCCGTAGACCAACGTTGTCTGCGATTCTATTAACTATTAGTGTGCAAAAAACGGTGCAATCACATTCTGTGCCAGTGCTTTTCGGTGTGTTCCATTTGTTCAGCGAGTGTTTTGTTTGTGGTGGGCAGATAGGTGCACAAGCGGATAATTAGAGAACGTCAGATGTACGTCACTGGCCGATATTTATAGTAACAGTCATCTTGTTTGACATCTTTGAGGGATTCCTACTTTAATGTCAGTCACAGTGGCAACACGACCGCAAGACGGCAGCCGAACTGAACTGTAGGCCTACTCTTAGTCTTCTTCTTCTTCTCAATTTACGTAGTGTACAGCATTAGTAGAGGAAGGCCACGCAAAAGGTGGATCGGGGGAGTCAAGGAAACCCTGAGAAAACAATATCACAACTGAAAGAGCTACGGAGCTAGCCTACCGTAGAAAACTGCATCTCTCCTCGACGCTTAACGGCAACAGAGGATGAAAAAGTAAAAGTAAAGTAAGTAAGTACAGCATCAGAATCAATCTGGGCAGAATAAAGGTGCTGCACAATCATGGACAACCGAACCCAACAGTTCAGAAGTTCTGCAAGTTGCACAGAAAATAAATCTAATCCGAGTGGGCAGGCTGCCGTCGTGCGGTCGTGTTGCCACCGTGACCGACGACAAAGTGGGAATCCCTCAGTGATGTCAAACAAGATGGCTGTTACTATAAATACCGGCCAATGACGTACATGATCTGAGGTTGTCTTTTTAACCGCTTGTGCCAGGTGCAGAGTGGGCGATGTGGGATGGAGATGGAGACGACAAGAGGAGAGCCCGACGCGACTCTCTGATCGGATCTGTGCCCCGGGGGAGCGGAGCGGAGCTGAGCGATGAAAGGACCACAACAGTATTTATTTATTCCCACATCCGTGACCGTTTCTCTTCTTTCAACTCCTCAATAAGGCAGGGATTTCATCATTGTATATCACCATGAGAATTCTGGATTGTTCAGCTGGCTTGGTTTTTTTTTTTTTTTTTTTTTGTTTGTTCGTTTGTTTGTTTTTGGGTATTTGTTTCAGTGTTTTTGGAGGTATGATTTATTCAATTAATGTATTAATTTTTATTAAATTAATGTTGTTTTTTTTTAATGGTTTTTTTTTTTCATTTATTTTATTGTTTTGAGTTGGGATTTTTTCCCTCTTTATGTTACTGTTAGTTCAGTTTTTTCATTCATGTCATTGTTTTTTTAATTTTTTCAGTTAACATTGAATTTGTTTTTATGTGTGTTTTTTTGTATCATTGTTTTGGGGTATTTGTTCTTTGTGTTGTGTGTACAGACAACTGTTGCAAATCCTCGGGAAAAAAACGGCGCTTCCTTTTTCTGTGTTATCCCCCCCCCCCTACCCTTCTTTTCTGTCCACATCCTCAAGTAACAGTCCTTTTCCTCAACCCCCTACACACACAGGCCCCACCCTTCTTTTCTTTCCACATCCTCAAGTAACAGTCCTTTTCCTCAACCCCCTACACACACACACCTCACCCTTCTTTTCTTTCCACATCCTCAAGTAACAGTCCTTTTTCTCACCTTCCCCATCACTCAGTTTGTTGTAACTCTTTGGCCTGTAGCATTGTACTCATAAAAGAATGCGTTGTTGACATAGTGTGTGGACGGTGGGTGTGCGTGAGATGAAGGTGTTTGAAGACGTTTCTGAGCACAAGTGAAACTTTGTGGCAGAAAGAATGGGGATGTTCTTCTATGTGGGTGGCCTACAGTGGCTCTTCTGTCTTTGTTGCCTTGACTCCAGGGTTCAGTTTGTGGAATCATGAAGAAATGTGAAGTGGGCTGACAAAATGAGTTACTTCTCGGATTCAAGCCTTTTATGGAAATATATACCGGTACATCACTCTGAAAGGTAAAGTTTTTACGATTTATAAGTATGAGATAGTAAAAGGCATGTTATGGTTAAAGAGTATGGCATCAATAGAAAGTCTACAATTTTGAAGGCCTGTTATGGTTAAAGAGTATGGCATCTATAATAAAATCTACAAATTTAACCGTAGTGTCAATTTTTAGCTGATATCTCCTTTTGTGAGTTGCAAGAAATAACTCATTTTGTCAGCACGCCTCACAAGTGCTGTGTTATTAGCCTAAATAACTCGTTTTGTCAACACGCCTCACAAGTGCTGTGTTATTAGCCTCACAGTTTGCCTCCAGTTGTATGGATTTGACAGTAACATGACTTTTTTAGTCACAGCCTAATGGGGTTTTGGGTACCTAGCCAGGTCTGGATTTTTTTTTCTATTTTCATGAGCTTTACTTACTTATGGACTTAGACCGACAACGACTGTCACTGTGGTGTAGTGGTTAGGTGCTTCGCTGTTGCTCGCAGGAGACAGAAGAGTTTCATTCCCGAACCAGACGAACAGTTTTATCGAGTGTTCTCTGTCTCTGCTGGGATGTTGTAGGATCTCTCTCAACCCAGATTTGCCCCGACTGACTGGGTCGGAAGCCCGCCTCCTAAATGATCTAAATTGTGTTAGCGGAGGAATAAAAACATCTATTCTAATCGAAAAATAGAAACAATTTAAATGACATGATGCTATGAATTTTGTCTCATTTTACTAGTAGTAATGCCTTGGCCTGCTGGCCTGGAGTGTGACACTTATGGCCTAAGGGAAGAAAAAGAGTGAGAGATAGAATGATCGAGAGGGAAAAAGAGTGAGCATGAGGAAATGGGAGTGCTGTGTGTGGGAGCTCCATTTTGCCAAAAGAACATTCATTGCAGCAATATGACATGAATAGCTATAGTAGCTTTTTTTGAATTAGCATTGCATTCATCAAGATTTATCTGTGTGTGTAAGTAGTGCGTTGATCATATAGTTTGTCTGTGTGTGTGTGTAAGGGTTGCATTCTTGTTGGCTGTGTGTTGTGTTGGTCGACTTTGCACTACTGTGTGTACATGTGTGTGTGTGTGTATGTGTGTGTGTGTTTGAGTTCTACATTCTAGTGTACATATATATAGGATATAAAAATGTGACATTTTTATGACGATATATGCTTGTGTGTGTGTGTTTGTGTTGATAGCGAGGGTCAGACTGTCATCTGGAGTCTATGATATGGAATATTTCTTCCAGTAGTATTTCCTGATTTATGACTGGCGTTCAGGGAGATGACAATGCCAGCACAGATAGAAGGGGGGAAAAAATTGTACGTATATTGATGACCTTTTCCAATGTGCAAATTGGTTTGTTCTCAGATTTTTATTACATTTTTTTTGGTTCCGTGTCCTGATTTTGGTGCCGATATTTGTAGGTTACGTAAAAATGTATTGGTATGGTGAAAATTGCTGTTTCAAGAAAAAAAACGAACAAAGAAGAAAAACACGACATGAAAATGAGGAATTATTTAGTTGGTGATGATGTTGATGATGATAATTTATGACATTTTGAAAGATTTCTGTTTGACAAGGAAACATAAAGCTTTACGTGGTGTGTTGAGGCAGTTGTGCACCAGAAAGAATCGATCAACGTTAAGGAAAACTTTCCAATCCTATCTATCAAAAGGTGGTGAAAAAAAAATCCCCTTACTTTACTGTTTCAATCCTATCTAACAAAAGGTGGTGAAAAAATCCGCCTTCACTTGACAATTTTTTCCTGACTACTGTCAAATATTGATTTAGCCACTAGGGAGTACTTATCTAATAGAAATGTTCAAAGATCAGAAATTGAATGAACTGTGGATAATGCTCTATGACTTTGCTGCTACATTTGCTGAAATGCAAAAAGCTTTTGGTCCCCATTTCTGGATTTTCGAATATTTTGGTATCGTTTTGTTCTTTTGGGAGGGCAGGATGGTGACAAAT